ACCCTATTTGTATGCTTCCAATAGATCTCAATAAAACAAAAAGCGCTAATTTTCCGGCTATTTTTATCCTCAAGTAATCATCCCGTTTTGTGGATGCGAAAAAGCACATGCTAATTGCATCGAATTCAACCAAAAATGATAATGACACGGTTCTATTGATTGATGGCACGATTGGTTGATTGATAGCAAATAAAACTGACGGTGCTTTATTCTGTCTGCCTCTCCGTCTTTATCGGGAACTACCTATGGTTTTATTGTATTGTTTGCTAAAAGTACGCTTCACTTTAGTTTCGTCGTCAGTACAGTGTCGATGACACACTGCGACAATACCCTCATATTAAGAGAAGTCAGCTTCGTTACTCGGTCATCATCACCATCATCATCATGAATGATCATTGTGATGAAACAACGTCGGGATGGAGTATCTGACCTTAGTTTGATCAATCAATAGGAACGATCAGTCGATGTGATTATTGTGTGCACCAATCTAGTTATCATGTCAAACAGCTGAAATAATAATTGGTTTCTGCATAAACCCCCGGGGACGATCACAACGCTATGGGTAATTAGCTGAGCAGTTAGGTTGGATAGGCACCTAGTCGTCAGATTGATGCTACTGATAAACCAGGATTTAAAGTGGAAACATCATAGCTCTCGGATCAGACGGTTACATTTTGAAATTTAGTAAAAACAAACTAAAAAAACTCTCAGGAAAATGCGTTTTGGTGACATTGAAAACAATATTCAACGAAATGACGTAATCCGGTCCAATCTAATCATTTTGGCAATTAACAAGGTATCCTCAAGGTATCTTCAAAATGAATATGAAATTCAGTCGATTGAAGTTATCATGTACATGTACATAAACCCGAAATTAAGTGGTTTTAAATCAAATGACTAGTCCTGTTTCAAATTCCTCAATTTAAATTTTCCAATAAAGGTGCTCTGATCGATTTCCTCCAGAAATCGGATTGTAGAATAAACGCAATGTCTGTCAGGGTTTGTCGTGAGTTATATCAGTAATATGAAAACAGTATCCAATTGATGATGATCAATGAAGTTTATTGATCGAACGTGATATCATCATAAATCTGGTCGGTCCGCCGAAAATGTCAAATCCGACTAGAACTATAGTTCTGTTCCAGCAAAAAAGCTTGATCAACAATTCCAGAGCTAATTACCATCCTCTGTGGTCAGGATATATTCATCCATTTATCGAATCATACATGCTATTTGACTATTTTCACCTCTCAAACAAAAACGTTCGTAAAAGTCCATGGGAATGGCGAACTGTTGGTGATGCAATCGACTGATTCTCGGGTAAGATCAAGTGTTTTGTGTTTCGAGTTTTGTTTTTTTCTGTTGTTGCATTGAGATGACAGAATCCAGACGCGGCTACGTAATTCG